AAACTTGCCAGGTTCTGAAACTTGCCAGAAAAGTCTATCTTCCAATTCTTTTGGTTGCCAAACAGGTTTTTGCATAGCTTTGTCTGCTTTTGCATTTGCATCATATTTTTTTTTCTTCACAGTATTTCAGCCTGACACCCTTTTTCATTCACATGAGGAAATTGACTATCAGAGAGAAATCATTTGTAAACCCATTCAATCAGCCTGTAGCTGCAGGTATGTAGAGGAACCCTGCCGTAACAGAGAAATAAGATCTCAGCTGGACAGTACTCTTCCTGCCATTTTGCACAATAACATCGGGGAATACGAGGAAGGAAGGTGACCCTTAGTGCGCTGGAAAAGCGTTTAACGTTCCTATTTCCATGTCTGTTCCGCCCGACAAAGTGTTTACCTTCCTACGCGTGAAATTTTGCAGTTGCATTTGCATGAGATTCGGTTATTGCTGCATTTGGTTTGACTTCGGATAAGAGCGAAGTGTAACGGAAGAATCTTGACATGAAAAAATAAATAAATAAAATAAAATAAAATAAATAAAACGAGCCCTTTGCTGGCATAAACAATTTACCAGCATCCATGAATCCCTCTTCATATCACTGACATTTCTGTCAGCCCAGAGGCAATATGAGTGCGGTTTGCATTCAGCTCGCACCGCCAAGCGCCTTTTAGCGTCTCGGCTGGAATCGAAATGGGGTTCACCACAGGTAACGGCGAAATGAACTTCAGTGTCAGAGCAATAGGCTCCCTCCGCCACACTCTTAATATCAGAGCAAAGGAGGACAATGGCAGAGCAACATCTGATTAGAGCAGCTAAGCCTGAACATTCTGTTTCTATGGGAACAGGATATTATGCACTAGCCCTGAGAAAACAGGAAGTTTATGTCTGTCTGCGAGCTGTGTTTACAATGCCCCCTCTAGCGTCCCTGGCCATGGTGCCATCCAGGGGGCATCTACACTTATAATAGTTTATTAGCAAAGCACATTTCAGTGTATATTCTAGGTGGAAATGCTTTATTACACTCCTGTGCAAAACAGGGCCAAGCCCTAAGTATTAATGATTTTTACAGATTGTTTTGACCTGGGGGCGGCACGGTGGCGCTTTGGGTAGTGCTGTTGCCTCACAGCAAGAAAGGCCTGGGTTCGATTCCCGAGCCGGGCGACCAGGACCTTTCTGTGTGGAGTTTGCATGTTCTCCCCGTGTCTGTGTGGGTTTCCTCCGGGTACTCCGGTTTCCTCCCACAGTCCAAAAACATGCAGTCAGGCTGATTGGACATGCTGAATTGCCCCTAGGTGTGAGTGTGTGTGTGAATGTGTATGTCTGTCTGTCTGCCCTGTGATGGACTGGCGACCTGTCCAGGGTGTATCCTGCCTTCCGCCCAACGACAGCTGGGATAGGCTCCAGCACCCCACCGCGACCCAGAAGGATAAGCGGTTTAGATGATGTATGTATGTATGTATGTATGTTTTGACCTGGTCAGATTCCAAATTAATGTAGAGAATATCTGGAGAGAATATTGGATCTCACATGAAACACAAACTAGCTTGGCAGTGTTTTGAGCTGTTTGAAGCCGCCAGTACTGAGTGGAAAAATGTTGACTCTTCTTTCTGTAAAAGGCTGCAAGTTTACCAAGTCTACACAGATGTCAGAAGTGGGCATCATAAGACATTATAGGCAAAAAAGAGGGGAAATTGGGCCTTTTAAAACCTTTTTAAAGGTTCTTTGAGCTGAATTTTCTTTAAAGGGCCATCCATTGAAATGATCTATATTGACCCTAAAGTGGTTCTTTTATGGCAAGAAGCCTTTTTGGCATCTTTATTTTTGAGTGTGGCATGTGTAAAGTGACATGCTCACTGGCGCTGATGTATGACTCAAGCAGAATGTTGTCATGTTCTGGCATAGTAGGCCTAATATGTGTTTCATCACTGTCCACAAAAAAAGAGATACCTCTAAAATAGTATCTTTCCACGAGAAGGCAAAAATGGGCTTCATTCACCAACGTCTCCCTAAGTTTATTCTTAAATGTGTTCTTGAGAAAGGTCCTAAGAAAAAGTCAACATCAGATTCCTGACGTTTTTAAAGTTCTTCTTAGAGTCCTGATGTTCTTAAAGCGCAGAATTATTCGCACCTTTGTGCTCTTGAGTGTGTTTTGATTCTGTTCCCAAATAAGAAAACACTGGTCAGAATCCTCGTAAAAATTGCGTAAGTGGGTTTTAGGAAGAAAATTCAGCTTAAGAATGGTTGGTGAATGAGGCCCAACGATCTTAACCTTTAATGTATGTTAATGGAGATTTTATTTCAGTTAGTTTTGGAGCATTTCTGTTGATCTTCAAACAATGTTCAAAAATCAGTTTCTTTTTTTTGTGGACAGCAACAATTAGTTTAATTCTTATTATTTGTTAAATATTCAAATTATTATTTATTTTAATGTTGTATTCTAGTATTACTGATTTTTCAGTGCAAATATAGGCTTAAAAGCAGTTTAAATATAATTTTCCCAAGTGATATAAGACATTTGTACAGTATTAAAACCTGATTAAGCCCTTCGTCTAATTACTTCACCCTTCCAGCTGGAAAAGCGTCACTCAGTTTCACTGTGGCTCTCCGGTGCTGACAGTAAGGAACCGAGATTAGAGGGTAGGATGGGGTTTTTCGGAGTACCAGCCGGACCTAACACGTTGTGTCATGGCAGCGATGTGTGGGGTGGACTGAGTTTCCCCTCCGGCCAGCTGACCTTTTCAAACGACAGCTGGCCTCCTTCTATGCCTAGAGTGGAGTGATGTCAGCATCCAACTGAACAGTGGGAAACAGTCTGTCTCTCTCGAGCAGCTTTGCTGCCGGAGTGATGTCATCTCCAGTGTCCTCGATTCTACAAAGAGAGCGAAAGGAAGCAGTAGCGGACAGAGGAGGGTACTTTTCTGCATGACTAGGGCCGGATCAAGCCTGCTTGGAAGGAGATAAATATTTAAAGTGCAGAGAGACGTCTGAAGAAATGCAAAAGCAAATACACACACGCATGACCAGTCAGTGGCTGAAGAAAAATTAGCTGTTATTGTAGCGCATCCCATATTCAGAGAGTAATGAATTACCAGTTATTAATCAAGTCTGTAGTCCCTTATGCCTGGCCAGTTGTGGACCATTAGTCTGCTAGGGACTTGTTAGGCCTTAATTACTGTTTTCTTCAGCTTGCTTTAAAGTGTCGGTGAGTCACTGCAGCTTGAACATATACTCGCTGACATTTTCCTGCCTTATGATCTGCTGATGCAAGCTGGTGATTATCTAGCCTGCGTTTATGCAGAAGCAGAGAAGCCGGGGGTGTTAAAATACCATGGCCTATTTACCCAAAGGGACCAGCTTGGTTACAGATGGCAGTGATGTCACCTCAAACTTCTAATCAATCTGGATAGATGTGCTGTACATTCTTTACACTTTAAGGAAAACAAAAGGGGGAACTGATTCAGCTGCTGATAGTTAGTTTAGGGCAGTCTTCGTATCCTTGAATCCCGGCTCCAGTCCTAGTCCTGTACTTTGTAATTGCTGGTAGGTATGACCTTTAGTTGCTAATCGGTTACATCAACAGTTGAGTTGTCTTCCAGTTATTACAAAATCCAGGACCGGAAACTGGATTCAACGTCCAGATTTCAAGACCTTTCATCAGGAACTTTGTTAAGAGAAGCATGGTCCACTGTATCAGTGGCAATGTATCATTCAGTGGGGTTCCAGATCTATGGCTGACAAACAAATCAACATCCGGTTAATACCACCTCTCCGGCCAACGTCAAACTTAGGGAAAATGGAATTTCTGACGTAACATTCTGCCAACGACTGTGTTATGCTGCCACCGCCACTAATGATGCCAGTGGTCCCTACTAAAAATAATGGAATATCCAATTTGCCATTAACTGTCTAATCTCATATTGTAAATGCAGCATAACAGTTAACAACTATGACTAAGAAACACTACTGAATGTGTACTGGTCATGTACCTGACCCATTTCATCTACACTGTTAGAAATAAAGGTTCTGTGCGGGTACATTCATTGTTCATCAAGGGACAAACAATGTCATTGTTCCCTCAAAGTTACAGTGGTTTTAAGGTCCAATTGTGAACCTTAAATAAGTTTTTCCAGGTGAAAAGTTTGTATTTATACCTAATGTTTTAAAAGTGAACAGTAAAGTAAAAAGCCTGGAGACGAGACGGGGTGTGTGGAGTCAATGCAACTTTTTTCTAAGAGCGGAGTTAGTATTGGTGCTGATCAGGGCTGAGAAGCAGAATACAGGAAATCAATCAGTTTGCTCAGAGTAAAACGCCATTTCACCAGGCAAAGAACCCTTTAAAAATTCAAATGGCTGCATGTGTTCATGGTTCTATATAATATTTGAAGAACCTCAAGGGTTCAGAGCCCATGCTTTGCATATCTAATTACCAGTCAAATGTGTCATTAAGTTTAAGTTATTCATTTTTCAGCATCAGGAAAACATCAGAAAACTGATTTTTCATGATTGAAGTAATCCCAAACACATGTTGAGGTTTGGACTCTGGAGTGGTCAGTCCATTGTTCTGAGAACTCCAGTAGCTTCTTTGTTTGATTTGCAGATGTTGTCCCTTTCTCAGTAAGAGCTTCTTGGCAGCTACACATCCTTTCATTTTCTCCTCTCTCTCAAAGATGAAAGCTTTCAGTTCTGTTTATCTGATGGGCACAGTTTTGGTGGTCTACCAGGTCATTAGGAGTCCTAGTATTTTCTCTATAACTTTTATCTGTAAACTCACTTATTGTCTTTTGACTTTCACCTTCTTTATGCGGATAATCAAATATGTAATTTTCTGAGAAAATATGAACAACTTGTCCTCAATGGCCACTTTGACTGAAAGTTAAGAAATAAATGAAGGGTGTTTTTTTACTTTTGCACAGTACTGTATATGTGTGAAGTAGTCCTCTATTTCCTGCTATCTATTTTTTGCTTAATTCTTAATGAGGGTTTTTTCTTCTTTTTCTCTCTACAGGTCAGTCTGCCCAATGACTCCAGCTGTGTGGAGGAGATTCTACGGGTAAGTGACATCCACTCTCTTCCTGCTGCACTAATTACACCTGCTCTACGCTGTTGCACACAATGGCACTTAACCGTCCCTAGCATGGGTCTTAGCTTAAAAGCTGAGCTGCTTTCACATCCAGTCACTGGGCTTTTGTGCCTGTACTGTAAGAAAAATCAGAAAAGTGAATGATATTACTTTTCAGGCAACTGTCTGCCAGCGAGTGAACTCAGGTGTGGAGAGTTGTCTGTAAATCATGATAAATCAATTTGAGATGCTCTCTGAATCACTGTTGAGAGGGTCGTATTGCATTACTGCAAGCAATATGTGATTAATTTTTTAGGTTTATTTTGCTTTGTTTTCTTCCTTTCCGCCATATTATTCAATTAAGGCTGGATGATGATATTCGGTTTTCTCGTTAGCGGTCCTGGCGATCGGAATGTTCTCGGGACGTAAAACAGATGAATCACGGCGGCCGCTGACACTCTGTTATTACAGAATCATAGATCAGGCTGGCTCATCCTTTGAATAGGGATTGAATTACTATCGATGAGCTGCAGTCAGCTGGCTCTTAGTGTACCCTGCACGCCGTCACGGCACGAAACACGTTGCCTGGGCAACCTGGAGTGTGTCTGTTAGTCTAAGTGCATGATGGGATTGCTCAGAAGGCCTCTCTAAGCCAGGCGAGGCTGCCATGACTCAGGCATGACTCACGAACCAGGACTTGCTCGCAGCATACTAGTGCATCAGTGCACCTTTGGACGCTTGTGATGTTAAACGGTACAGCAGTGCGAATTAATTGAAGGTTCCGCAGCATTAACTCTAATAATAGCCCTGAATGGTTTGTTAATTAGTTTTTTATTCCAGTCTGTGCTACATCTCACATAATCACAGAAGTTGTTCAACTTTTTAACTGGAAGAAGTGAGTCAGTATAGGTTATCATCATCATCGTTATCATCATCACTTTTAGTTATATAGCGCCTTTCCTACGCTCAAGGATGCTTCACGATTAAAGAACAGGAACACATTAAACACTTAACAACAAAAAGACATCCATCCATCCATCCATCATCTAAACCGCTTATCCTTCTGGGTCGCGGTGGGGTGCTGGAGCCTATCCCAGCTGTCATTGGGCAGAAGGCAGGATACAGCCTGGACAGGTCGCCAGTCCATCGCAGGGCAGACAGACATACATACACATTCAGACACGCACTCACAGACAAAAAGACAATACAAGTATAAACAGAACATCGATAACATAGTGAAAACAAGTACGTCTTTAAATGAGATTTGAATGAAGATAGAGTGGTGGCATCCCCAATAGACTGGGGGAGAGTATTCCAAAATTTGGGAGCTACTACACCAATTGATCGACCACCCATAGAAGTCAGTTTAAACATCGGAACATGAAGAAGGCCTAAATTTTATGATCTTAAAGTATGGGATGGGATATATAGATGAAGAAGCTCAGCCAAATATCGAGGAGCCAGGCCATGCAGAGCTTTATATGTAATGTGGAGAACCTTGTACTGAACGTAACTGTGTTGGGTAACCAGTGAAGACTCTGAAGGGCCGGGTGATATGATCATTGTGTTTTGAAAAGATGACGGTCCAAGCAGCAGCATTTTAAATGTACCATAACCCTAGTGAGGGTTTTGACAGGGAGGCCAGATAGAAGAACATTGCAGTAGTCTAGCTGTGATGTCACTAATGCATGCCCAAGTGTTTCTACACTGGCACATGGAAAAATGCTGTCTTAACAGCAGAATTGATGTGAATGTAAAAAGAGAGTGTGGGGTCAAAGATAACTCCAAGATTGCTGTGGTGGGGAGAAGGTGTTACTAGAATCCCATCAATATTGATGCCAAGAACAGATGAGCTAGATATCAGTGCCTTTGAGCCAATTAAAAGCAACTGCAGCATTCAGTTTAAAAAGTTCATACTCACCCATGACTTAATGAGTACAGTCAGATAAAGCAGGTGGTGGTGTAGTCTGAGCAGGGCTGACGCTAACATAGATCTGAGTGTCATCCGCGAAACAATGAAAACTTAAACCATGATGGTGAATTACATGGCCAAGTGGCAGCATGTAAATGGTAAAAAGCAGCGGACCTAAAACTGAGCCCTGTGGAACACCCTCAGTAACAGACACCATAGAGGATTTATTACTCTGAATAGCTACACACTGCCGTCTATCACTAGGATATGAGGAAAGCCAGGAAAGGGTGGATCCGGTAATACCAGTGCTGCGCATATGAGAGTAATAGATCATGAGATATGGTATCGAAAGCAGAGCTAAGATGAGGAAGTATCAGCATAATAACCGCTCCTGAATCAGCTACACATAGGAGATCATTACTCTAAGAAGTGCAGTCTCTGTGCTAGGCAAGGGACGAAAGCCAGATTGAAAAGGCTTGAATAAATTATTTGTTTCCAGGTGGGACTGCAACTGTGAAGCAACTATCTTTTCCAACAGCTTAGCAGTGAATGGGAGATTAGAGATCGGTCAGTAATTATCAGAGCTGTGCAGCATAACTGACGTCCATTCATAAGCCTTTTCAACCCTGCTGTCCACCACGCACATTAGCACCCTTCCCTATGCTCACTGTTCACAGTTTGAATTGAAATTTAAAATTACATTCAATAGCATGGCGAAAAATGCAGTTTATGTAATCTCTTATGCCAAATGCAGGTGATCTGTTTTCTTCTTTAGTTTTGCACCACAGCTAATAAGCTGTTAAATAAAGGAACTTTAAACTCTGTTAACTTGTCTCAGTAAACTTGCTTATGTAGTTTCTCATACTGTTATCTATAAAAGGACACGCCCCCTCATCTGGGAATTCTTGCTTGGAAAGTCAAGACCATTCTCAACTCAAACCAACATGACTGCTTACACACAACATACAAGAACAGCCATGCACAATGTTAATCAGTAGCCATAAGCATGTATCCAACTTATATTAGTCATACGTGGACATGTACACCGATCAGGCATAACATTATGACCATCCTATGACCAAAATTAAATGAAATACACCAACAACATACATGCAAAAAGCCTTATATTACATAACATGAAGCTAGCATTTATGAGTAATATAAACCATTCATATATGATTCATGCTTTCTTTTACATATTGTTAAATATATGTGTTACATATGTATGTTTATGTATGCTAATATATGACTGAAATATATGTCCCATATTTGAAAATTTCAAATAAGTTGGTGTGTGTGTCACATACTCCGATCAGGCATAACATTATGACCACCTCCTTGTTTCTGCACTCATTGTCCATTTTATCAGCTCCACTTACTATATAGGTGCACTTTGTAGTTCTACAGTTACAGACTGTAGTCCATCTGTTTCTCTGATACTTTGTTAGCCCCCTTTTACCCTGTTCTTCAGTGGTCAGGACCCCCATGGACCCTCACAGAGCAGGTACTATTTGGGTGGTGGGTCATTCTCAGCACTGCAGTAACACTGATGTGGTGGTGGTGTGTTAGTCTGTGTTGAGGTGGTACGAGTGGATCAGACACAGCAGTGCTGCTGGAGTTTTTAAACACTGTGTCCACTCACTGTCCACTCTATTAGACACTCCTACCTTGTCAATCCACCTTGTAGATGCAAAGTCAGAGATGATAGCTCATCTGCTGCTGCAGTTTGTGTTGGTCATCCTCTAGTCCTTCATTAGTGGTCACAGGACGCTGCCCACAGGACAGCTGGATGTTTTGGTTGGTGGACTATTCTCTATTTACTGCAGTGCTGAGAATGACCCAGATAGTACCTGCTCTGTGAGGGTCCATGGGGGTCCTGACCACTGAAGAACAGGGTAAAAGGGGGCTAACAAAGTATGCAGAGAAACAGATGGACTACAGTCTGTAACTGTAGAACTACAAAGTGCACCTATATAGTAAGTGGAGCTGATAAAATGGACAGTGAGCATAGAAACAAGGAGGTTGTCATAACGTTATGCCTGATCGGTGTATGTGACACACACACCAACTTATTTGAAATTTTTCAAATATGGGACATATATTTCAGTCATATATTCGCACACATAAACATACATATGTAACACATATATTTAACAATATGTAAAAGAAAGCATGAATCATGTATGAATGGTTTATATTACTCATAAATGCTAGCTTCATGTTATGTAATATAAGGCTTTTTGCATGTATGTTGTTGGTGTATTTCATTTAATTTTTTTTTTTGCTTTAAAGAAGTATTTCACTGTTTGTAGCGACATATATGAGACAGACAGTATATCGCTGTTGTTGGAAGACACCCTTGTATCTCCAAAATGGTAACTTTACAGGAGAAGGAAAAAACCTACTTTACTTTCAATGTAAGTCAATGGAACCAGACTTTTTTCCAAGTCATTTTAGGTCATTTCCTTCAGTCCATTCATCATGAAATTTACATACAATGTAAAGGGTAACAAGTATGTTCAAACTGTGTCTTAAACTGGAAAACAACAAAAATGGAGATGCAAGGTTTTGTTCCGACAACCGCGATATATCAGATCTATATATTATGTAACATATAAGTGTTCACCCACCTATCAGAGATATATGTGTCGTCCTTATATTATACATATATGTCCAAGATTTGATACTTTGTATATGTACATACATTTTGAAATATATGCCTTACCCTTTGTAATATATATCCAAATTTGGTCATATATCAGATTTCCATATGGGTTGTTAACAACATTGGCCTTTGAGCTGTAGTGAAAAACCAAAGAAGCAAACTTCAGGCACCAAACATGTTTCTATACGCTACATTTGAGCTTTTTTTCACTGAGCTATAAAGTTTGACTTGAAAGAGCTGTGTAATCCCATCATAAACAAACCACTAATAAACCGTAGCAGGGTTGGCTGAGGTCTTTCGAACTGGTCTTTTTATCCAGACTGAGCAGAGACTGAGAGATTTGCCTCCTAAACAAACTTGCATCAAAAACAATCTCCACATTCCCTGCTTTGCACTTGTTAGCGCTAGTTTACC